AAGTAGAAAGTAGGAAGTAGGAAGTAGAAAGTAGACAGTAGAAAGTAGAAAGTAGAAAGTAGAAAGTAGAGAGTAGGAGTAGGAGTAGGAGTAGGAGTAGGAGTAGGAGTAGGAGTAGGAGTAGAAGTAGTAGTAGTAGTAGTAGTAGTAGTAGAAGTAATAGTAGTAGTAGAAGTAGAAGTAGAAGTAGAAGTAGAAGTAGAAGTAGAAGTAGAAGTAGAAGTAGGAGTAGTAGTCGTAGTAGTAGTAGTAGTAGTAGTAGTAACTTAGTAGTAGTAGCAGCAGCAGCAGCAGGAGGAGGAGGAGGAGTAGTAGTAGTAGTAACTTAGTAGTAGCAGCAGCAGCAGCAGCAGGAGGAGTAGTAGTAGTAGTAGTAGCAGCAGCAGCAGCAGTAGTAGCAGTAGGTGATTGTCCGAACAATAGTTCAAAGGACCATGAGATCAATGGACCTGGAACAAAACACAATTCGCCCAAAACGATAAGCCTCCCGAGCAATCGGATCGGTCCCGAGCTCCGATGTAAATCCACCACTGTGCCGGGCCCCACGAAGAAGATGTGTGGTTCCGCTCCCACCGCACCCACAACAGACGGGGGAAAGCATGCATATTCGCGGAAACACTGCATGGCAGTTGAATGGCGAGAGAGTGAGGGCTGATTCATGCCGGTTCGCAGGACCTGACAGCTTATGAACTTGAGTTAGAAAGACAAGACTGACTAATCGTCGGTGGCTCGAAGCTGCGAAGTGGAGACTCTTACCCCGCCGCATCTCGAAGCGGCACGGTGCACAGGACGTGGCACAGGAGGAAACTGAGACGACTGCCCCAGAGCATGAGGACATCAATAGGGGCAAGATGAAATCTGGGCCCCGATTGACTTGTTGTGACTTGTGAATTGGCGAAGCCGCGTCGTGTCTGCGGTCGAATTCGGCATTACGTGTGACATTGGCAGGACTTGCCGGAGCCCACACCTCGAAGGCAGGGCAGAATACGGCACGGCTCGGTCGTTGCGACAGCCTGGCCAGGCCTCACCCACCGGGCCCGGGCCCCGTCGGCCCCGGCGACATCGCCATGCCTGCCTCGCAGTGCGAACGTCATGCTCGAATCGAGGCGACGCGGCGACGCGCTTTTCTTTTTCGCTGCTGGTCTGCTGGCATCCCCGACTTGACAGGCTCTGATGCGTCGACGCCGTTACGGTCGTCGCTCTGTCATCAAAAAACCTTCCTGCGCGAGTGAATGGGAATGGAGTGTGTCAGACTATGGAGTGCTTCGGGACCCTGTGAACTTTGTTGACCTCTTGCGACTTGAGCCTGCGTTGAGACCCAACTGATAACATGTCTGAGACAGTCAAAGAGAGTCGCGGCATGCCTGGGATTTGCATCTTGTTGCCGACTCCACCCATATACATATGAAGGAACGAACATGCATGCAGCCCCCGTGCCCGAAGTACAATGAGAAGCAGACAGCCGGCACATGAGTGCACTTTCCGAGGAGAGCGCATCATGGAAGACCCACATTTCTATCGCGAAGGACCCAGGCAGCAGACGAAGCTAGGCTCAAATGGCATGACTGCGTAGGGAGACATTTCCCAGCCACAACAGACGCCACATCCACGCCCAGCAGATGCAGCAAAATACATGTCATGTTTTGCAGATGAGTTGTGCCTCAGTCATTGGCTGGCTGTAGCATGTATTTTTTTACCTCACTGACCAGAGCTTTGACACCTCGCCAGCAATCACCAGTGGCAACGAGGGGCTCAGCAGGTGGGCCGAGTAGTTGTCAATGTGATGAAGCAGAAGATGCTGGCAAAGCAACCCCAACTCGCAGTTCTACGAGGCATGTGCCAGAATAGTAGGAACCCCCGAATGCCGAGGAACAGCCTTCCACCACCACGTGTCAGACGGCCGCGAATCGCACACTCAGATGTGTCCTGACCGCACAACCTACCGGTTTCGCACCATGCCCAGTGAAGACGCGCGGAATGGCAGCTGAGCTTAGGATCCTGTCGGGAAGCCGGAGTGGCCCAGATGCTTTCATGGTTTTCGCTGCCAACTTCAACAATGTTTCAAGTTGAGGCCGCCTGAAGTGCCGCCACTCAGCGCCCGCGGAGAACGGAGCCCTTCACTGCCACCCTTGCCACCCATCTCCGGGGAAGGGCGGGAAGGGCGGTTCGGGAAGCCGAGCGTCCAAAAACACCTCGTTCGCTTGGAGCGCCAGCCCGGCCGTGACCGCCTGGGCTTCGGACGCTCGGACAGCCAGATGGCCTCACATCGTGTCTCTTCGGGCGGGTCTTGCAGTGAAACTGTGATGAGCTTCTCAGGCAATGTTTCCGCGGGAACGCCGCAAGCTCCAGCCACTGGTCTTGACAGATGTCGGGCTGCAGTTTCCAACAGTTGCCTGTCCCCCAACTGGAAACCTAAGGTTGCCTTTCGTTTGCTAACGATTTACATGTTGCTATATGGGCTTGACTAGGTTTGTGCGAAGAGGAACTTGCGTTTCGGTTGCGCTTGGTTTTACCGTGTTGAGTAATCGTGAATGTGGCGCTTCGGCTCGGTTGAATACAGGTTGGTTGCACCGGTGTCGTTCAGGTTTCGTGATCCTCGATCCAGCTTATAGTCTCAGATGCATGCATGTCGTCTCTGGGGCTCCGGAAACCGGAATCAGGTGCTCGTGATAAGCTGGATTCGGGACGGGGCGCTGGCAGACTTCAACTATGCAGCTCCAGAAGGTCACCGACGGAAGGGTCGCAGCACTTAATAGTTATGGTGAGAGTCGGTGTGCTTGCATACCTTGGATGGTGTGACAAGTCACCTAGTGCTTCGAAGACGGTGATGCGGTTTTGCGAGTGACTGTTACGTGCTGCACAGCTGTGGCAAATCCAATGGAACAGGCTTGGCTGTCCCGGTTAACTCTGCCATTGCACGGACCCAAGACATGTGAAAGCAGGCTTTAGAGTTCCTGAAAGTGGGGGCTTCAAAGCTGCTAGAGGTTGTTGGCCATAGGGGAGTATTTCGCACATTTTCAGCGCCCCTCACGTTGCTGCTGTGCACACAGGACCGGCTCCGTGGACCCCTGACTCCTGATGCCCAGGTGTCCGTCAACGGGATCTCGGGCGATGTGCAACGAATGAGAGAGGCACTGCGATCACAGGCGGCCGCCGCAGCACTTTAGATGCAGTCTGGGAGTTACACCTGTCCTTGATTCGATGCTTGGGCCTTTCGGTAGAGACAGACATCACAAGCCATTGTAGACAGAGTCCAACCCAAGAGACGAAAGAAGGGTGGTCTGCGAGTCTCGAGTCAGTCCTTGCAGGATTTGTCTGCCCGAGCATGTTGCACGAGCTAGCTTTCACTATCTGTCACTGAACCACACGACAGTTGGAATGAAGCGGTAATTGTAGGATGCAAGAATTTCGCAGTCATGTAGCTGCTATGCCAAGTCAACGCAAGACGTGCATCATGCTGCATCAAGATTTCAACAACTCGCAGTGCCCTCTGTGCAACGCCAAAATCGGGTTGGCAGCGCGAGAAGTGTGCAAGTCTTCACAAAGATCGGGGAGGTTGTGGAGATGGAAGTCATGGCTCCAGAACGGTGGCGCTACTCGAAGGCTGGCTTTCAAGGAGTCGAGGCGATGGCTTTCATGCTTTCGAGAGCTGGCCCAGGTCACGAATTCAATGTTTTGAAGGCCGCAGCTTGGCTGCATGCTGCCTGCATTACAAATTCAAGTCAACTTGATGAAGCCCGGTCTGACTTTTGCCAGGATCCATGGGCTTGCAACTGCATCCTGCACACTGTGATTGAACAAGATCAGAGGGTGCACCTGCTGCGAAGACCGCAGCAGAATTTTTTACAGTCTGCGCAAGCAGAGAGGTCACGGCATTCGAGGTTCAGGTTTATGACGCTGTGGTTTCCGACCACGCGGCTTGCGTAGATGTGGGCGGGATCAGCACAAGCACTGCCCTGCGCCATCGGAAGTCACTGCCCCGATCTGGGCCAGATGCAATCAAGAGATTGCAGCACGACTACGCTTGGAAGTCGCAAGCGGTTAGATTTCAAAGCCATGCCCAGATACAGCGCCTGAAGTATGCCCTTCGATCCGCGCATCTGATTGCAGGAGCTCGACAAGAACCCTGAGTTTGCTCCTCCTGGCACAGAGCCTCTTGCCCAGCGCAAGCTCCGCCATGATAGTGACGCTGCAGGCAGAAATTGGTTTGGGAGAGTCACAGTTGCTGATTGTTTTCAGGGCTCAGAACATGGAGCTTGTCATCGGCTGGAACGGCGGGCAGCAGAAGAAGGACGAATCGCAGGTGGGGAGGAGCGGGGTCCAATCGCTGGCAAGAAGTGACAATGTTATGTTTCAAGCCTGACTGTGACGCTCACTTCGACATGTTTGTCCTAGATGTTTTTGGAAACTCTGCAAAGCTGGAGGTGCCCAACTTCCCGCAAATGGCCGGCCTCATCAGCGCAGCAGAAATGATGCTGAAGGCTTCTGCTTCAGTTGCTTTGCACAACCTTGTGCACGAGTACGCCACCGTGCGCCGGAGCCAGTCCAGCCAAATTCAGTTCGAAATCCTAGCTTCGAGTCCACAGAATTTTCATTAGCCTTGGGAAAGCATCGGAAAGATGGTGCAAGGCGAATCATGGCTGAAATAAACTCCGCCTACTCAGTAGCAGCACAACCTACTGGTACAACACCACCTCGGTTCCATGCTGGTCCGCCTCCTTGCCACTTCGGCCGGCCTTTGTGGCGCCTCGTTGCCGGAGGCCTGAGGCCTCTGCTTCAAGATAGGGCATGCAGCCTCCGACGGCTTGTATGTTGGTGGAATCTTGCAGCCGTGCGGACCGTGGCACTCAAGGCGGGCGCGAAGCCCAAGGCTGATGTGAAAACACTGCAGGACGGGGGACGTCTCGCGGAAGAGCAGTGTCCAAATATCGAGAGCTCTGTCTAGCTGTAATGAGTCCATGAGTCGGTGATGCGACCTTCCCACTCTAAGCCAAAGAGCAAAGAACTCATGCCAAGGAGGTGGAGCAAGCAACGAGTGGGGGCAAGTACCCTCGAGCGTTTCCCCACGGCGTGCTGAATGCAGAGTGGAGCAACGATCGGAAGATTTTGCGCAAGTTGCGCAAGGCGATGACAGGGGGAGTGGGAGATACCTGCGACTGTGAACTCATCTCTCCAATCCTTGCAGGGTGGTTGCCAGCAGAGGCCTAGGCCTGTCCTAGCCTGCTCGGAGGCTTTACGAATGGGCAAACCCTTCGTGATCAAGGACTTCCTGTTCGGTCCGGTTGCAGAGGCTAGCAGTGGGGAAAACACGCATTGTCGCTTGAAGAGTTGGGCAGCCCTTGGGCGGTTGTTGCAGCAGCCTTGAGTGCTTATGTGGCAGAAATCAGAAAGGCGTTGCTGCAGCAGTTGCAGCAGCTCAGCGCCTTGGGAGGACATATCAGGACAGAACCTGGCCCCATGAAAATTAGACGCGCAGCATTCTGCTTCTAGCTAAGGTGATCGGCAGGATGATGAAGACGAAGAGGGCTATCCGTTCCAAAGACTGACGGAAGGCAGGTCGAGACGTTCTGCAGTCCTCAGCTTTAGGAAAGCCGTAGTTGGATCCTTTGGCACAAGCATCTTTAAATCGGACAAGCCTTCATGACCTACTGCACCTGCTCCTCAACATTCCCACTACTGGGAGCAGTCTCCAGCATGCCGCGAAGGCCCATTTCACTCTCAGCCACGGGGTTGGGCACCTTTGAAGCCCAATCCGTGCACACAGGTGTCCTGGCCCAACTAATAGCAAAGGAGGTGGGTTGTTAACGAACCTCATGCGCCTCTGGCATTGGTTCCGGCACCGGCCCAGGTTGTCTCGGATTTCTTGGAGACGCGAAAACACCGCTTCGCCTTTACAGGGCACATCTTAATTGGTCGGAACCTGGGAGGAAGTTTGGTTTGGTGTATGCGGTGTAAGGATGCGACGTGCTTGGCACGTGCTTCAGCAAGGACAGGGGACAAGCACAATGCCTGGCATTCCGCTTTCCGTCAAGCCATGGAGCACCCGGCGGTTGTTCAGTTCTGGCAGGCACACAGTCGGCACGGTCTCGAGCCTGAGAAGCAGCCGCGTATGCCCGTGTCCTGCCATTGGGCTCAGTGGACAAATGGATTGGAGACATCCTTCCGTTTAAGCCTGGTGGGTCTTGAATCTAACAGCGGATGTGGTGGCGATGGCAAGCACCGAGATTTTTCACAGACCTTGGAAATCCCTGCGTTGGTAGGCTCTCACTGGCATGCCGAAGTGGGTGACCCGCTACGATCCTTCATGGTCTTGGTTCCGCATTTGCAGAAGGATGCAAGTACAGTGTCTGCTGGTATGTAAGCTACTCTTAGCATAGCCACAAGCCAGGAATGAGCCCTGAGAAAACGCTGATAGCCACAGGCTTCGCCCTGGTGACTACTACGGCCTGCATGCCGACGATGCGCAGGCCTCTCGAATTGGTGACCGGCCACGAAGCATGTCATGTTGTGCTAGAACGAACCTAGTGACGCTTGCTCCCATAAGGTCACCTGTTTGCTGACAGACGGTGGCATTGACGGCTGTAGAGATCTGAACTTGCAGGCGAGATACCTCGCGTTGACCATCCACCTCGCCAGTGGCTGGTTCTTCTGGCATGCTTCGAATCAACCAGCTCGATTCGGAGCATGTTTCCCTAGACTGCTCAGCAGGTCGGCAAAACAAGGAGGCGAGCTTGTTTGGTGCGGTCCGGAGGGAAATGGCGATGTGACCATCGAGGTCGTTGGAATGTCGTGTGTTTGTTCAGCTCGACCCGAAGCCATCGATTGAGAGGCCCCTGATCGTCCTCACTTCCACAAGAGCTTCAATGTCTCGAAGGGGGGCAGCGCTTTGCTGCCGAGCTTCAATGTGGCGGTGATCTTTCCTGTCTTCCAGTGGCTTGGTTCGGTTGCTCGGAGTGTGATTGCCGGCTGCAGCTTAGCAGCGTTCCCAAAAGGAACAGCTACCATGCTGTGGCGCCTGTACGTCATGGTGATGGCAAAGGCGAACCTGCTGCAGTCTTCGCATACCCCTCCGTTGTTGTCTGTTTCCGGCACATGCTTGTGACACTGCTTGTGTCGCACAATGCTGGCTGCGCCTTGCTGCGACCAAGAGATCTTAGCAAGCAGCTCAATTCATGCAATACTGAAGCATCACGCCAAATCAAGACTGCACCAAGCTCACTTAGCCGTTTCAACACGCTGACACACCAGCAGGCCGGCGATTCACGCTTCAGGGCTGGCAGCCTGGATGAAACCACTGTTCAGCTAAGCCTTGCATATGGCATCACCCATGTGCAGGAGTGTCTTGCTGGTCAAACCCCTGGAAGTCGGGTGAACCTGAGTCGAGGTATGTGGATCCATGCCAACTGCAGGAAGCCACCTGGCAGAAATTACACCAGCTTGACCGGTAGAGTTTGTGGCCCGCTGCTCCATCAACCGCCCCAGCCTGAATGGCAGACTATGTTTGCACGGAAGCAGCCGCGCGTGGGGAAACTCATCAGGCTCCGTGAGAAGTTTTGGGCTTAGGCCTAGCCCCCGCCTCCACGCACCTGGGGTGGGTACATCTGAAGGTGTGAAGTGCATGTCCCGGCAATTTAATGGTTCAGGCGAGTCTCGCCACAAAACTTCTCAGAAGCACATTCCAACTTAGATAGTGTGCTAAGAAGCCTTGACACATGTACTTTAGGGCTTGGGGTGCCCTCCAAATGAGTCGCGCGGGACTTAGGCCAAAGGCAGCTGCATGCCCGACGCCATGCGCAAATTCAAGGCAAGCTTTTGTGTGCAGAGGTTGTACCGGGCCCGTCGTTTCGGCTTCACCGCATGCCAGGAGTGGTCAGAGAAGATCGCTGCCAAGTCCACTGGGTGGGGCAAGGGGCCGCGCCCTGCCTGGATCAGCCTTTGGCTTTCTCAACTAGCATGCGACTCCTCAGGACAGGCCTCCAAAGACCGAAAGCTCGCAGCAACGCTGAGTTGTGAGTTCGACGTTTGCCCTGCAGTAAAAGCAAATCCTGTTGGGCAGCACGTCGAACGCAGGCCGTCCAGCAATTACCCCGCAGCTCTTTGTGCCGTGCATGTAGCGGTGCTGGCATCAAAAGGAAAGGGCACAGTCAGTTCGAGCACTGCTAGGACTGCTAGGCTAGGCGCATGTATGAGCATGTGTTTGCTCAGCAGGCAGACAGAGAGCATCAGCCACAGGAAGCATGACCATCGAACATGCACCGGAAGAGAGTGCGATAGCTGAACAAAGCATTATATGACTCATCGCCTTCTCTCAAAGAGTCTTTCCAAAGCCAGGCCCAGAACGAAGCCAAATGGGCCGCAGAGAGCCCTGGCCATGTTTGGGACCACTTAAATGTGACAGCTGCAGAGCAATCTTTCCGCCACGCCAGGAAGGCATCGAAACCAAAGGCGTCAGGCAGGGTCAGTGGCAGGGCCTGGCAGGTTAGCTTGGTGTGGACTTGCAGATGTAAGACCGTAACTTTACGTAAACTTCTGAGGCGAACTGCAGGAATGTCGAGTGAGGTGAAAAGGTTTGTTTTAGCACCCTGAGCAGGTGGTGGTGCAGCCGCGGAGGCAGAGAAGGCGACGCCCGTCACGCGGGTCAGATGCGGTACGATGAAGAACTAATGCATAGTTGCAAGGCGGAAGCGTTCACAGGTAATGCTGAGAAGCATAAACAATGACGGAGTATCCCCTCATGTACTAGGCCATCCCTTGCCCTACAGCCACCTTAGGCTGTAGCCAGTTGCGTCAGACGCCCCGGCAAACCCACCAAAGCTTAGTTCTCTCAGTGCAATTAATCCCAATCCCAGCATCTGCTGTTCACCGCAGGCGCCGACTTGTGAGTGGGTAGAGGAGACTTGGCACAACAAGACGCTTGATCTGTGCTAGTGCAGCAGCGAAGTGAATAGTCAATTGGAGGAAAAGACGGACGAAGGCAAGGTGGCCTATCGCAATGGACGTCAGTTTCCCAGCACAGCCTTGCACCATTGCACGGGTGGTCAGAAGACAGCATGGAAATGAACAGCCAGGAGAGAGAAGTCAAGACTCGTTGTGATTCCTTCTGGATGAGTGACATGCAGAGGAAGAGCATCTGACCATTCCAAAACAGTACGGCAAACCATGCAAGCTTCTTGCAGTGCATGCGCCTTCCTCTGCTGTCCATGCTCATGTTCGACCTCATGTGCTGAGTTTGTTAGCCAAACTGCCAAGCCAGACGTGCTTCAGGAACCGGGGAGGTGGTCGAGGAACTTCCTGATGGCGTGACGGCGCGCAGAGCGAGCGAGTGCATCAGCTTTCGGTGAAGATGGAAACTCAGAGTCTCACATGAGTTCTTTTGCACGGTTAGGCGTTTGAAAAAATCCTGGAAAGACTCGGCGAGTAATGTTGGTCTCTTGGGGCGGTCGCTGGGTTGGGGGTGTTGCAATAATAAACCTCTGGCCGGGTCCTGGGTCTGTAGTAATATCAATAGTAATAGCAATAATAGTCTGGCTTCATGCCAAAGCCTGCAGCTCTCGAATACCAAAGCCTCTGGCTTGAGGCCCACTAGTTGTTGCTTTTTACATAGCCTTCTGAAGAAAGCCTGGCTTCCAGGAGCCCCCGCCCCGCAGGAGTATTTTATTGTCACCCATTTAGTATTGCAGGGCTCGTAAGGGATACCCTTGCCGGCTTTGTGAAATGGCACCGTTTATAAGGGATTCGAATCAGGCAGAGGACTCAAGAATAGCTGCTACAGTTCCTGGAATCCAGAATCCCTGGCTTCATGCTAAAGCCTGCAGCTCTCGAATACCAAAGGGATCTGCTCTGCTTGCCGAAGGGTGGAATGAAAAGTCTTAGGAACCGCACGCTGCGAGCTAGTAGTTCAGTGAGATGTCTGAGGAACTGCACTCTGCCAGCTGGATTTAGGGTTTGGGCTTTTCTTTCCTTTTCTCTAAGATAATAAGCTTTTCCTCAAGCCAGGCCCTAAAAGTATTCGGGGTTTGCGGCCCCGAATATTTTAATTGTCACCCCTTTATAAATATCACCGGGGTTCCAACATCAATTGTTTGGGGGGATCTGGGTGCGCAATCTAAAGTCAGGGAATCTTTTAATTGTCACCCTGGTTATTGATGTCACCCCTACATTAAATTGACGGCACCAGCAGCGCCAGAGGAGAGAGTAGGTGACCGCAACTAGCTTGTCGACTATTTGCAGGCTGCCGATGTCCAAAAGGCGGTCCCAGAGACTCGGCTGAAAACGAGTTATTTTGTACCGTGCGTTTTTGAAGAGACATCTGAACTTGTTGCGTGGTGACGGTAGCAAGCCTGCCCTGCGTCTGACCTTCCGCCAACGAGATGGCAGGATGGCTCTTCGAAGGCCGACGCGTTGCAGCAGTTCATTTGGCACTGTGTCTGCCTTCGCAGTTCTGGCTCTGCAATTCCTCTGTATCCTCTTATGTGCGGCTACTGTTACTTCTGGGGCCATCAACAGGCGCCCTCTCCGACGATGCCGCTGGGCGCACGTCCGCCCTGGCAGCAGGACAGACTACAACGGAAGACTCGCCAGAGCCGAACAAAGTACTTCGCACATGCCCTACTTTGCCAGGCAAAGGCAGCAGCGAAGGCCTGGGTGGTTTGTTGCAGACCATCGCGCCAGCATCGTCGCGCTGTGGCAAACGCTTCCTCGGACCATCTCGGACCCTCTGTTCCGCAAACTTTGAAACTGTATTCGTCACTGCAGTGACAGCCAACATGTCCGACGGAGGCATGCAAAAAGTGGAACGTAAGCCTCACCTACACAACCGCAGCTGCTCCGGCTCCTACCCCGAGCCCTTTCGGAAAACTCTGAAAGGCGGCGCACTCACACCTGATAGTGGAATCCATATTCTTATTGCGGGGCGGCTGCCTGCACGCTCTGCCTGCTGCGATGGAAGGCCGGTTCTAGGGATCACAACAGGGTGTAGGCTAAAGCGACTGCCGACATGTTAAACCACTTGAGGCGCATATAGACATAGCTAGCCTTCGCGCTCTCCGAGTCACCGCAGAAGTGCAGTGGCAGCAGTATTACAAATCTTGATCTCACGGTGGCCGCGTGATCGAAGTTATCCTTCGGCTTACCACGCGCTGTTTGGAGCAGGCAAGGCCGCTAGCGACTATGGCTCGCTCGAGACCGGCTCCGCGAATGCTTTCGTCCCAGGTTCCGTGAAAAAAGTTATGTTCTCAGAGCCCTCCCCCATTGCAGCTTTGCTCGAGCCAGGCCCCGGCCAAGCCATCGAGACTGAGGAAAGCAAAGCAGCAGCACGCGCAAAGCCGCTTCTTGGCCGCGACCAGCACCGTCCCAGCTTTCCGTTGATAGGTCTCAGACTCAGCTACAGTTTCTCAAGGTCCTGGAAGGATTTGCCGCCGCTTCTGCTGCCTTGGATCCTTTTCGGAAGCTTGGCCGCTAATCCAAATCCGCAGGAGGTCAAGCTGCTGCTTGGACTGTCGTACACGCGCTGCGTACTGTGCAAGTGAAAGGGGACTGTCTAGTTATCGAAAAATGTGCCACTCCATGAAGGGCTCACAGCCTCCTTTGATAACCGATGGTGACGACAAGCATCGCAAAACATCTTTGCCGACCAACCCATCGCCGGCGTTTAACAGCGGAAGATCAGGCCAGGGCCACAGCCAACAGCGGGCCTTGAACAAGCAGCAACTTCAGGCGCCTGCCCACCATGAAAGAGCCGTCAGAATTCGGTTCCCTCGAATGCATCAACGTAACCCGTGGAGTCCTGCCACCGAGCCAGACGATGAGACTGCAGTTACCCTCCCGGACTCCCTGCGCGCAGGTGGTGGATTGCTGGGCAATTTGGGCATGAGCATGAGCGCGAGGTAGTCGAAAGCAATGAGCCACATCAAAACTCATTGTGAGTCAACCATAAATGACTTGAGGCTGTTTGTCCATTATTGCAAATGCTCAGCCCAGGCATGGTTCTTTTGGCCACAGCGCTGGTTCAGGGCCAGGCAATCTCACTTCTGGCCTCTGCTGCATGCCGCTTGTCTGAAGCTAATTCAGGTCTAATGGCTGGACTCCCTTTCTCCTGATTATCGGACTAGGGCCTCAGGCAAGTGCAGAGAATGGTTGAAGTAGTGGTCCGTTAGTGCTTTCACAGCGAAGGGCCGTATCGCCGTACCTGAAAAGTGTGCGATCCTGAACACGAAGGATGCGGGGTTCAGCTTTGATCCCTGGCCATTGGCATTTCGTGATATGCAAACCCTGAATCACCATGTAAATGCAAGAGTTTCCGGTGCGATACGGACCATCCTGGGTATATGCTGTGTCTACGTGTAAATTGTATCTGTCGATCGGATCAAGGCAATGTCGTTGAGAGGGCATCCTGCTAAGAAGCTTTCCATGGACATGGCAAGCCCGAAGCCTGGCCCTAAGCCCTAAACCCTGTTCTGCGCAGAAGCCATTCTGGCCTGACTCCAATCGAGGGGTGATTGAGGCATAGACAGCTGCAGCCTGAACCAAGCTGTGAGGGCTGAAACATTGAGCTTCCCAGACCACTGCGTGTAGCAAGGCAGTGTAGTTAGTCTCTTCGCTTTTGCTCAGACTTGTGTAAAGCTTTGCCTGCCTGCTATGGCTTGAGATGCGGGAGACGTAGACAGTGCGCAGTGGAGAGTATGGTTAGATTGCACCCTGAGCCTCTTGTCGCGCTGTGCGCTCCAGTGTAGGTAAGTCGGTCGGGTTTTCTTCGGTGGCATGTGCTGCCCAAATCTTGACAGTCAAACTCAGGTTTCCTTCTCTCCGTGGGCTTTCTGCTGTTCTCTCGAGGGCCGGCTTGGCGCGTGCTTGCGGTCAGCTGCTTCTGTATCACTCTCTTTGGCATCGCCCTCGGGCTGCTCGACTTTGCCGGGCTCGGAAAGAGAAAGAGTGCAGACTTTTAGGCAGACTACTTGTGCTCAAGCACATGCTCGGAATCTGTGGAATCATGACAGTTGTTGGTGATATCCCAAGTCTGAAGCCTGGCGAAGCAAGTCACGGCATTTGGTTTTGGTCTAGGCTGTAGACTTGGATTGACCACGTCGAGCCCAGGCAGTACGACAAGATCAAGTACCTGCCTCTTGGACGCTGGACGCAGCCGCTCGACAGCTGAAGCTCGGCTAGAAGACATTACGAAGTTCAGGTATCCCTACTACTTCTTCCAGCGCAGCCCTGGCTACTCCAATGTCGATCCGATGTCGAAGCCGGGCTCAGTGGCAGATGCAGGCAGCTTGGTGAATAGAAGAGTGGGCGGCTCCTGCGCTTTGTACATGTGTGTATCCAATCAGGGCCCAAGGAAGGGTGGCCAGACATTCGATGACCCTTTGTTGCAGTGCCGTGATCTGCGTTTTTGCTGTGAGGCTACGTGAGCTTTCAGCCGGGCAGCTTGGCCTTGAATATTCCTCTGAGTTCGAAACGAGCCAATCGTGTTTGCTCCAGTTGTGCTTGAAGCTGTACTGGACAGACTGTAACGTGGGATCCAAGAGTTCATGGACAATTGCTAGGCCGCTCGCAGGCTCTTCCAATCTGTCATATCTAAGGCGCTCATGTGGACACTTCCCGAGGTGCGACAGACGCGCATATGCCTGACCCCATACTTTCGGTGTTGGGCCAAGCGTCGACGGTCCTGAGAAACGTGTGCCTTTCCGGAGCTACCGACGACATGCTTGCCTGCAGGCGTTGGCTTCGTTTCCGGCACTCTGTGGTGCGCCGCACCCGTTGCCGCATGTCTGAAGAACCCTGGATCTGATACTGTACAAGCACCAGAAGAAACAGCTTAGTGACTGGCTGCCTTTGAAAGCAGCAGTCAGAAATGTGCCCTGAGGTTATGGACGAGATGGCGACGTCAGCCGGCTACTGGGCTGTGGGCACTGACTGCTGCAAGCGCCAAGGAAGCTTCGAATGTGGGGATGCACAGAGTCTTGGCCCAGTCGTGGCTGGAAAGCGTGCAGCAAAGCGCCAAGCCACAACACCACATTGCACAGTACTTGTATGATAGTAGGGCCGCAAGGTTTGAGGAGGTTTCTTGCACATGTTGGTTGGAGGTTTGGGTAGTTGTCGCCCATTGTGGCATAGCTTTATACTTTATATAATATAGTGTTACTCACAGTGCCAAGCAAACAACAAGTGATGCGTAGTAGTCCATGCCGTTCATTTTTCCGGGGAGCGCAGCACTCGGCGACGGCTAAGTCCCACAGGAGTGGGTTGCAAATCTGACTAGGGGTGTTATTCAATTCTCGGAGCTCTAGAAATTTTCTAGGATTGCTTTCAAGATCTTTGCGGTCTGACAGTGCAGTTCCCTAGGATGCTTTGGCATGCCACATGGCTGCTTTCGGTCATTGAATGAAGCTCCAGGCTCTAAGCTTATCGTCCTGCATTTATCATTGAAGCTCATGGCAGCCAGTAGTCAAAACAGTTGCTGCATGCCAGGGGGTTTTCTTGGTGCTGCTTGCCCAGGAACCGCTCGGTGAGGAGTGGTGTCGTGATTCAAGACTCCAGCCCAATTCTGGAAGGCCGGGGCCTTGACTTAACTCATCATCCCGACCCGGTCCACAAAACCAGCGCATTTGTATGATGGAGCTGAAGACCTTGGATGCCGGCGAGGCGAACTGCCCAAGTACATTCAGGCTGCGAGAATGGCTGCGGAGACCTATGGCATCAACATGCCGCGGAATCCAATGCCACCCGATGCACCCGAAATTGCATGCTCTCCCTATAGGCGTTAGGCCCGCAGCATATTGACGTTGGGGTCTTACGGTAGGCCGGTAGACTTTTGATCACATGCACAGGGGGGTATGCTAAGTGCCATTGCATCGGTTTAATTTTTCTTTGGTGAGACTGATGGTATGGAGCGGACACACCGGGTAGTATGTAGTGACCAGCTTGTAAACTTGAGCAAGCTGGGTCAGCAGAATCTGGTAGAAGCCATATTATCAGGTTGGCATGTTAGGTACAGTTTGTTGTGCAGAGGTTCTTCATTCCAAGCCCGGGCCAGGTTCATCCGCTGGAACGATACGCCCGAGAGACAAGAAAGTTGGTTCTGGCCGCTGGGCTGAAGGGCCCCCGTGGATCCTGTGACTGTGGTCTTAGGTCTCAGGTGCTTGTTTCAGTCGAGCAGCTCTCCGCAGAACCATGAACTTCAACCGAAACGTAGCTCTGCGACTTGCAGCATGTCATGTCATCTCTGTTTCATTAGTCACCGTGCGCACGGTGGGTACGGCATTCACAAGATGTCCACACAGGCCGTGTCAGGCTTTGGATTTGAATCCCAAACATGACCAACTCAGGAGCAACGCCACGAACTTCGTCCTCGTTTCCTTGTTTATCTTCTTTCTTCTGACACCCTGCACCTTTGACGCACTTCTCAGCGGTAGCTAGGTGGGCAAGCTAGTCTGGGACTTCAACTGGCGTCCGAGCGCACGATCAGGGGCGTTCCTTTAGCCGGTGGGATTTGTTTAAATAGCCCGAGTTGATGCAACACTGGGTTGTGGCTTGTGGCATAACGTCGATGCGTTGAGGTCTCCTCCTAGTCTTCGTGTGCACGGGCTTTACGCTCTTCGGCATGGAGGTGTGGCATCATAAACAGACCAGGTCGAGCAGCTTAACGCACGCGGTACTATAACTTCCTCCTGCGATTTAAGTTGCGGCGCTGACCTCATGCTGACATGTTTTTGCCACATACCTGGGCCAGGACAGTCCGCAGTGGCATCCAGAAAAACTAGACTTTTGGATGGTATCAGATCGGTCGTCAGCATAACATTCCGCCTGGACAGAGTCGTTGGTGGATCTTCTGCGCAGAGAGGACACCACGCAAACAAACCAAGGACTTTATGACATTCGGCTTCGACTGGACTTCCAGAGTTTATCCAAGCTACATCCGTCAGGAGCGGAGCTGAACACGCAAACCGATTGAATGCAGTGTTGTATACGTGGAGCGAGGGGACGGCTTGCTACACATCTTCGCCGGGAGTTTGTGTTCTGCGACAGGCTGCCCAGAAGTTGAAGGTCAACTCCAATCAGCCTTGTATCAATCTAGCAAAATGTTGGATGCGGGATGGTTGGCTTTGTATGTCAGGACCTGCTGTATGGCCGCACATTTTGGACAGGCGAGGTGATCGAGGACTATGTGTTCCATGCCTCGTGATTGCATCAAGTCTAGCTTGCCGAATTCATGTAAAGCCAACCCACGCTGTCTTGAGCTTTTGTACCTCGGGGCATCTAGTTGTCCAGAACTGTTGGATCTGGGACATGATGCTTTATTCGCCAGATTCCCAATTCTGGTGAGGTGAGCCTATTTTGGGACCAGATGGCAGGGCTCAGAAACTCTGAAATCTTTCCCTCGCCTCCGTTTTCTCTCTTATGCTCCGCTCGGATGTGTGACTGCACCGAGATTTCTCGATCTGCTTTAGCGTTTGTTCGCCCAGTTCGTCTCTTCCTCCGATCTCTGACCGAAGGGCAGGCAGTTCGAATGCCGCATTGAGGCGGAGAGCTAGGAGAATCGAGTCTCGGCCAGCTCACCGAGCTTCCTTCTTGCCTCTGCTAAGAACATGTGCATTTGCACACAGACGTCCAGAGTTCAGGTGTCAAGTGCCCTGGGTATCCCCGAGCTGGCGCGTAAGTACTTCCTCCCTGAGACTTGATGAGGCTGCCAACCGGCATGTCTACTTGGGCATCCTGTTCTGCCATCCTGCTCACCCCTACAGCAAGTGGCGTGTTTGCACAGCCGGCATTGTGTCTGTGCTGGATACGTGCCGGTGGGCAGCCGCCTGGTAATACAGCTGGTGAATCTGCCTTGAGGTGGCAACGCTTGGTGGTAGCGATCTCTGCCTCTTGCTCCGTGGCTGCATTTTCGCCACGTGTGCAGCTACACGGATGCCTTCCAGATGCTGATTAGAGTCTAGAGTCTAGAATCTTTGCCGCATTTTTTCTGCACTTGCCTGAGCTGGTGCAGCGGATGCACAGGCATTTCTTGGTTCATTGTGACAGCCGTCGCGGCCTTTACCGGACAGACTGCACTTCGCAGCTTGGCCGGAAAGGAGGGCTGGTTCAGAACTGTTTTGTTCTTCCAGAATTGCGAGAAGCCGTCAACCAGTAGACGTGCAAAACCTCGAAACACACCAGCCAGGCATCGTGACCATCATAGTCCTCTGCCTGGTGACACGAAACACGCTCAAGCTGGTCCTTCTCACATACGGCATCGGGCGAGCGGCTTGGCACCGAGCAGATGTTTGGGCCACCGGACCATAGGCACCGCTTGACCTCTATTATACCTGTAGAAGCCACTGTGGCTTCACGCAACGGCTGCCACACATTAATTACAAGTATGTATAGGTGCTCCAGCATGCGGCCTGCAGGACTTTGGCGAGGCCCACGTGATTCGCAGCTCTCTTGGCACGGCCTTGAGCGTAAATGCCTTGGGCATTCTGGTGTTGCCCGGCTTGAAAGGATTCGCAGGGTCCGCTTAAAGTGAGCCATCCACCCCGACAAGCCGGAAGCAAATCGAAGCGACGATGCCTTTTCAATGTTAAAGCAATTTCTTCTTCCTCTGGATGTGTTTGAAGAATTTTGAAGATAAAGTCTGCCCAAGGCTGTACCTGGTAATGGCAGCCTCTGCTCTGGGCGCTGCATCGGCACTTGTAAGCGCAGCAGGAGCGAAATCCATCGGCAGCTTGGACTATCAAAGGGGTGAGCAGCGCAGATGGTGCAGAGTCTAGGGACGGGCGGCAAGATTCTCATGGTATCTTCTACAGCAGAGCGGCCTCAGGTGAAAAGCAGCCTCCAAAGAGACTAAAGCATCCGAGCATACAGCTGAACAATATGATGCCCAGTGGCATGAGAAGCCCTTTCAAGCCACAGAGGCGAGGAGCTCGGCAAGAACGTAGATGTCCTGGCCTACATGTATGCCTTCAGGCTGCAATGGAGGACTTGAGCTGTTCCCTTCGCAGCTGTAGTGTCTTGTGTCCGGTAGCCGATGGTGCGAGAGCAAGAGGCGATAATTGGACTGTGGATGTCTCCAGAAGGATTTGTTTGCCTACATATTTTTTCAGATCTTGACGACCAGAAACGTATTATTGCAACGAGATTTGGGATGTTCTCTCGCAGCATTTCTGAACCGTATGGTGACGGTTTGTAGCGTGAAGGGCTGGGGAAGTGGAAAAAAACACGAGCCATTTAAAACGGCGGCCCCAGCGGGTCCTTCACGTAGGTTGTTCAACAAGCAACGTGTCAACCTGTTTGAAATTCCTGATGTTCAAGAGTCCGGCGCCGTAGAGGCTCAAGTCAAGATTGCAGGGCAGACATCCACCTGCTATCCCTTGATCACAGGTCCTAGACTTCTTGGTGGATGCTGTGACGCCTTACGTGGGCTTGGACGAGCTCAGTGGTGTGTGGGCATTCGGCTTCTTTGGCAGGCCACTTGCTGAATATCCGCGGTTTAGGTGCATAGATCACAGGGAAGAGCACAAAAACAAGGAGTGGAGACAGCGAGATATCTGGATGTTCTTGGGTAGGGGGGGGGGGGCAACTGCCAATTGACATCGGAGTCTCGCCTGCGGCAACCTGTGGAGGGGCAGGTTGTCGATGACTTTGCGAAGAAGAAGACGGGTTCATTGATGTGTGGGGGATGGCCGAGAGGGCAGAGACACGGATACTAGCCGCACTAGCCAGAACGACGCCGAAGGGCGAATCAGAAAGGTAGAACCACGTGAGTAGTTAAAACAATAACATGTGTACATACTCAAGCCTGTCTGCTAGCTGCTAGCTACTGCTAGTTCCATGCGGAGTGGACGCTTGTGTACATGGCCTCAGCTTCCATGTGTTCCTCAGCTTGATCCATGGTTTGGTGCAGATGGCGAGATGAACGAGACGAGTTCGAGGCGGCGAAAGCTAACAGCCACAAGACCTTTGGCTGCAGTATGTCTGCTAGTACTACTTCTTGCGACGGAGAACCACATCCCGTGCGTCCTGACTGTTGTTTCATGTAAAAAAGAAAAACAATTATCTCCGACTCCGACACGATATTAGATGTCCTCTTCGGTGAAGGATGTGCTATCCGTCGCCAAGTGTGATGGCGGTTTCTTGCTGGAGTACAGAGCGCATTGAAAGACAGAGTATGGGGGGGCAGCCGGGCAGCGCCCACAGCAATTTTCTCGCAGCCGCTTTGGGCATCGAACGCAGCTTTGACTCTCGTACGAAGCAGGTCAGCCAGATCTCGGGACCGATAGGCTACAGTTTCCTTCGGCCAGGTTCCGATGGACTTCGCTGGGCGCTGAGGTCCTGGGCATGGGCCCCAGCGGATCTGCTCCCAAGCGAGGCCTGAGTGATCAGTATGATTGATATAGTACATGGCGGTCACAAGGCTGGAATACTGGTTAGCTTGCTGTTGCTGAGCATATGCAAGTACGTCAAGATTCAGAGTGCTTTTGCTGTCCTTCCTGCAAAACCTCTTTTAGCCATGGGCTGCGCCGATGAGATGGGTTTCAATCTGCTCGTTGGGCGGGCTACAGCGTTAAGGTTTGCAAGGGATCCTTTGGCCGTTTGGTGGAGAGGGGAGAGTTCTCCATCGCCGAAGTCTTCAGCTGAGCCCATGCAAGCTAGTGTTCGTGCCTCTTAGTCGGGATCGCTTCCGTGGCCGCCTCTCAGGTTGCATTAGTCTCCAAACCAAAATGCCAAGTCAAGCCCAATTAACAGGTGCGTCACTCTGCACCTTGCTGGCAGGCCAGGGCGAGAGCTTCGTGGTGCCTCATGGCTGCTTGGCGGATGGTGCGACTGTTCACCTTTCGGAAGCACGCATGAATACAAAGGGGGTACATGCAGCGTGAGAGATGCAGCGCAAACCATACGAAACAACCAACAGCAGACCAGGCGCTTCCGTACTTGTTTCCGAACAGACGGCACGCGTGCTTTCAAGGTACAGTGCAGGCCACAACTTCTCGAGGGGCCGCAAGCTTCGCATCAGCTGGGCGGAAGCGCAGCTCCTGAGGGCTTGTGCCCGCTGGGGCGAAGCAGTTAATGAGCATTGAAAGGCTGCCGCAATTCATGACATGCGTATAAAGCACGAAGTTTGAGTTTCAATTGGTCTGCGCGGCAGTTGTTTGTTTGGTGTACAATTAGGCTGGTAGAGTGATCGTTGCCACATGCTGCGAAGCAGGGAAAGGTTTGCCAACTTGGTCGTTCGCCTGTCTGGACAGCTGGTGCGCCATCCTCAGGTGTGCCGTCTAGCAGAGAAGTAGAGTTTAGTTGGCCAGTGACGCAGCCTCCGCAAGCCGTTCCAACGGTTCGGTTTTATCCCGCGACGTATTACACTCGACGGGGCCCAGGGCCCAAGCATGCCATTCCCGGTCCCGGCCTTCGGCCATGGCCGCAGAGCTCCCCCGTGTTAGCCAAGCTGTCGCCAGGCGCCGCCGAGGCCCAAGGAGGGGCAAATTTGGCGCGAGCCGGCAGCCGAGGGCGTTTGACAGTCTCGACTGGCAGGGCTGTGGCAGGGTCATGTACGTCATGCACCTTTCACGACGGGACGCAGCCTCGGAAAGTTTTGTTTTCTTGATGCTTCGGCTCAAGTGCCCAGTGCGAAAGTTCAAAGTATTTGTTCTGAGACATGGGCAGACGAGACGGTAGGATTCTAGCAGACATCCAGAAGCTAGTTGAGGCCCTGAATGGAGCAAGGTCGCAAACACGAGCACTCGAGGAAACTAGGCTACATTGTCTGCTTGTGAGACCGGCACAACCTGAGCATTCGGCGCCATAGCTGCTTCTCCATCTGACGCTGCGGGCAAAGGGGCACGTACACAGGCATCTTCCCAAGCGCGGTGCTGTGTCTCCGATATCTGCCAGTGCGGAGTGTCGGGTCGGGGTTCGGAGGCAAATGCGTGACAGCACCGAGGTTGCCAGGGTTGAAAGGCCTCACCTTAGATGCTGACCCGAGAATTAGGTCATCTGAGCTGTAGCTGCGGAACCGAACACGTTTTGCCGTTTCGGCTGGAGTACTTCCAAGGAAAGTAATGTGAGAGTAGTGGAGATGTGAATTCAGAGCTGCCGGCGTGCTGCCGGTCTCCACCAGCCTGCTTTCCTGCAGATGTCCGGCCATGCGCCGTACCCTGGGAAGAGTCCATATAGCATGTTGTCAGTGGACGAGTGCGTGGGTATGGTGACAAGCAAAGTACTTGGGCCCCTTGAAACCCAGACAGTGCAACTGAATGCTGCTTTGGGGCGCATTTTGGCGAAAGACGCAGTGGCAGTAGAGGCGATCCCAGCTTTTCCAGCATCCATCATGGATGGTTTCGCTATGCGGTCCAAAGACGCCCCCGGAAAGTATCCGGTGGATGAACTTGCGGGTACCACTGCCGGTGCGGATTCGCGTGGACCACTGAGAGAAGACCACATACGCTATATCACTACTGGTGCACCAGTGCCAGCAGGTGCAGACACTGTAGTTAAGGTCGAAGACACCCATCAGCTTCTGAACTGCATTGTCTCGGAATGTATCATCACAAGACTTCGCAAGACCACTTGTATTGCCTCGAGAGTGTTGAGCCGCTCCCCAGCCCCGGAAGAGATAGAAGGCTGGTGGATGCGGACGGGAAGCTGGAGATTGAGGTGTTGTGTTCCAGCAAACCTGGCGCAAACATCAGAGCTGTAGGCCGGGATGTTGTAATGCGCTAGTCGAAGCTGTTAGCCGACAGCGTGCCAACCTGAACAGCACCTGAGTGCCCATGCACAGGCTCGGACACCAAGCAGGGCGAGGTGATTCTGCGAAAATGCTGCCGTATTGGTGCTGCTGAGATCGGCGTGGCTGTTCCGAAGGGTGAGTTCTTGAGACGTCGTCTTATCTTGCGAGCGTTTGGTGCCAGTTTGTTCTTGCAGAACGTTGTGAGGTTCTGGCGGCTCTCGGCCTTGCAAGCGTGGAGGTCTTCCGGGAACCCAGGGTTGCCATCATCTCTACCGGTGATGAGCTGGTGGATGTAGGTCGGATTCCCAGGTTGACCCGGCGCAGCACTATGAACATGGTAGGGCGTGGACGGACATTTTCAGATTGGCCAATGCACTTTGCTGAGGCGCCGCTGGCACTCTGGATCGGAGCCGTGGGCAGATCGTTGACTGCAATCGGCCACTGCTCTGTGCACTCGCCCGGGAGCTTGGTGTGGAGGCGCACGCGAGCTCCCAAAGATACTTTCTTGACCCAAGTGGAGGATTTGGGCCTCTTTAGATCCTCGGTTTTGTTTCTGGCTGCAGCACTCCTTGTTGGCTATCCGGCCTGGTGCCACCTGGGCCTTATCGCTCTAGACAAGACTGGAAGTCTTGAAGAGTCTTGATCACGACACTTGAAGTGCTCAGTTTTCTTGATCATCTGCAACGGCAGTTATGCTGCGTCTGTCAGTGTCTGTTTTGTGGCCACGGCTGTGTGGAACTGGTCTGAACTATTGAAGCTCACCTGCTGCAAATGTTCTTCTTATGCTTGCGGGCACTGGGAGATTGTGCGTGAAGCGTCCCAACCTGGCAATAGGTCGCTGGTCTGCCTTACTTGCTCAAACATCCACTCACTCAACCACGAGAGAGAGAGAGAGAGAGAGAGAGAGAGAGAGAGGCAGGATGTAGCCATTTTGGCTCAAGTCAACCCGCCGCTTCCCTTGGCGGGGGGGGCGGCCCGGTGGGCCTGCTGTTGGGAGCAACAGGTCTGTCGGGTGGACGTCCCTCTGAGCGGGGGGAGGCTTGAGCCCTTCGCCGCTGCCACGGGATCATTCCGCACCACCCCGCGCCATCGCAGTCCAACACGGGGGTGAACTTTGCCCTTCGTGCTCTTCACTGCACGGGTCCGGAAAAGCGACATGGTAAAGAACGGTTCTGATCGGCATCGCTACATCGAGGTGGGTGTGCCTGTGGCGATTCTGACAGGGGACAACGGGTCGTAAAGAATAAGTTCGGTGAGATCGTGATAGTTTTTGCAGTCCGGCGACCTGACAATCGACCTGGCAAGATGGCGCGTGCGGGGGAAAGCCCTGCCGAGAGGACGGTGGCGCCCACAACCACAGAGCGCAGGACACCCAAGATCTGCCGAGTGTGTCGCGAAGCTCGGGGGGTCTGCACAAAAGGGTTTCGCAAAAACCAGAGGACTTTCGGCCGGGCGCTTGACTATCTCTACGTTATGTGTGAATGAGTAGTATACTTAGAGCTTCCCACCGCTGTCCCATAAAGCCAAAGGGTCATTTGTACTCCAACTTGTGTATGGCCTTCCTGTAATACGAGCGGGAAGTGAAGCCTTGTTCTTCAACTGTATGTAGCCTGCTTCGGCAAATGTCATCGCCAACCAATGCTCCTTCCAGATAGTTGCCGACTTGCAACATCTAGACTTCATCTAGACCCTAACTTTTTGCTTGTGGCCTCAGGCCTACTTCTTTCAATCCGCCTGCCATCCGAGTTGATAATTAGATTGTACAATCCTTCCGGGGGAAACCTCTTTCAGATTTGAGAGCAAACTCTTGACGCCCAGCAGCTAACATGTTTGCCCTTGACTCGCCGGACCCGAAGTCCTGTTGTAGCTGTTGTTGCATTCTTTATGTAACAGATGCTGGACCTTCAAAAGTAGCAATTCTCTGCAAAGGCTCTTCCCGCCCCCGTCGCCAGCTTGTTTGTCATCGAGAACATACATACTTCCTGGCTTTGCTATCGTACTCTATATGACTTTAGTCCACGGAAGTATTATGTTCGCTCTTCACACCCCTCAGCCTGCATTAAACATATGCGGGTGGGCCTGTGGCCCGGGGGCTTTGACCAGCCCTCATGCTCGGGAAAGATAAAAAAAGGCAGGATGTAGTAGTAGAGTGGATTAAGATGCCACTTGCAGATGCGATGTGTCTCCGTCGAAGTGGCTGACCACGGAGCTCATACCAGCGATCCAAAGGACTCGCGTGGCCGGAAAAGGGATTTGCCATGCTTCTCCACGCGGTCGGATTAATTGTAAGCGCTTCTCGTCGTCCGCCTCGGCCCAGCTGCAAGTGAAGAAGGCTGATCGCTTGCTGGAAATACGCCGTCAACTTCACAGAACCCAACACAAGCTTCGGGATGTACCTTTAAAGCTCAGGCGACGCAAGTGGTCAAGTTGAATCCCACTCAAACGTACATGTGTGGTTCACGGAGCCAGCAGTCCAAGACCGCTCTGCTCTCATCTACAACAGCACTAAGCATTCTGCATGAAGCAAGCGACCTCAAGAAACGGCTGCTGCACGACACAATCTTGTCCGGGGTCTTGAATGCAAAAGCAGCAATGCATGGCTCCAGGACACTCTTCCTGAAGTCAGAATTTGGAGTTCAAGCCGGCTCGGACAATAGAAGCGGGTTGGGCGTAGAAGGGAGGGGGAGTTGATGGAGGAGTGGGGAGTGCCGTACAAGCAGCCGAATCTATTGGAGTGCACGGAACTTCACCGCCTGACCTTACAATGCACAGTGGCAAAGGGAATTGTGATTGAAAGGTGGGGAAAGGGAAACCATGTGGGAAACTCTGACCGTTTCGGCCTCGGCCGAAGCGAATTTGTGCGTTCCGTCCCCCGAACGCCCCACCCTCCGTCCGTTCGAGGGTGGCGGAAGATCGCGTGGATCGGGTGAAGGCTTTCCATGTGACCACACGTGGCCTTCTTCTACTGCCAGGCCAATTTGGAAGCTTGCTGAGCCGGGAAAGCAAGACGATCGGCCGAAGGATAACTTGATTTATCTAGCATGGTCTCATGATCGCAGGTCTTGCAAAGGAGCAAAGTGGTGTCAAGCAGGGTATTGGCTTTTGTCATTTTGTCAGGATCCAGCCCCATCCGCCAACTACTCTCTGTTTGTTTGTTCTTGTCTTTGCCTGCTCAACTGACGCCTGGGACAATCTCCGAGGGAAGCTGCTCAGTTGAAGCTACTCGGCGAGAGGGACAAAGGACGCTAATGGTGCTCCAGATGCCTTCCACAAAGCAATAAAAAGCTGCATGCATTTGCAGCCCTAGCCGTTGTAGCTGCCCTTCGTCCCCTGCCCTCTCAGGCATTGACAGAAAGAGGGAGAAAGAGAGGTAAGAGGTTCTCCTCATTGCCACTAGCCCTGGCAAGAAAGGGAAAGAGAGAGAGAGAGAGAGCGAGTGGGAGGTGTCTGCGGCGAAAGAAAGAGCGAGATAGAGAGAGAGCGAGAGAGAGAGTGAGGAAGAGAAATGTAGACCAGTCTTCTTCTTATCTATTGTTGGGTGCTTGCTCTTCATGTGCAGATATGTGAAGTGAACCAGTTCCTATTCCGAGTTCCATTTCCTTTCTGCCTGGGCGTGTCTGCAGCATAGTCTTGAAAAGGCTCTAGACATGGGCTTCGTGACTGACGATCTGCCGAAGCTTCGTGCGACCCTTGTCTCGGCTTTCCAGCAGGCAGGTCTCTGCAGCAGCTTCACTGCCGGACGGGAATGCCTACTGACAACAACGACGGAGTGGCATCGTGTTTTGCTGGCACCGTCACACTATGTGAGAGGCTCGCACTTGTGACGACAGAAGATGCACACGCTGTCACAGGCAGATGTGGTCATTTCCTCTGGCGGGGTCAGCCGTGGGAGCAAGGACTTCATCAAAGAGCTGCTGTCGGAGATGGGTGAGGTCCACTTCGGCGAGATGTGCATGAAGCCAGGTGCACGGCTGGGAATCAAGAACTGTAGGCCGTTCTTGCCTTTATTTTTGCACAAATCAGCCAGTGCCGAGTGCTTGAGCTGTGCAAGAGCGAGGCAAGCCCAGTACCTTCGCGACAGTGGCTGGCCACGGAGCCCAGAGAAAGCTCTTCTTCGGATTACCAGGCCGAGGGCAGCCACCTTCCACCGTAATTCGCAGCATGGGCTGGCGTGCTTATGATTGCTCATGTCTTGCAGCGCGGCGTCGGGATGCAAACCAGAGACTTCTGTCCCGATGGTACTGATACTACGGCGTTCATCACCCATAGCGAAGGTAACCCTGTCAGCTGCTTTGTGACTTTCAAGCTCCTCGCTGCTCCAGCTTCTGGGCCTGCACTGGCATGCGGCTTTAGCAAATCGGTGCATGGTTTTGGGATGTTTTGGTGTATTTTGATTTTGGTGTCAATGCGGCAGAATTGCAGCTAGCCAGAATCTGTGCGTGTAATTAGAATTGTGAGTTGTGAGCTCGAGATAGCTCCAGTCATGAGTCATCACTAGTCCGCTGGTCCCGTTTTCTGTCATCGTAGAGATATGCAGGGCGGGACTAGTGCTGTATCGCTTCAGGAGTAGGAGAGGCAAGGAGAGGGCGATGTTGGGGTGTCTGAGTCGTGTCCGCGACATACTGCAGGCCGGGTGCTTGCTGGCAGGATGTACTGAAGTCTAAAGCGGAACGGTGGAGGTCGGAACCAAGGAGCTGCGTCGCAGGATGTCACAGGGATTAGCTACGGCCCAGCCTTCGCACGAGGCTTTGGAGCGGCTGCGGGGGCTGCCTCAGGATACACCCATCTACCCGCGGGTGGATGCAGAGCTGGCAGACCCTGTTGACATGGACCCGGTGCGACCCGAGTATCTCGAATCTCAACAACCGGTGTTGTGCAGTCAGGAACCCCCTTGCCCCGAATTCAGATGTCACAGCTTTTCATGCTGCTTCCCATCTCTGTTGTTCATTTATCGGCCCAGGTATCATCGGGCTAGGGCACGATGGGAGGCAGGACGCCCTTCGAACCAAGAATCATCTTCTGTTGCAGTTCACTTAGGGGGAGGGTATTGCTGGGGCTTGAGCGGGCCTGAGGGCGAGGAGGCACGTCCGAAGTTCCAAGCTCGGGTGCAGAGTGCAGGATTTGGAAAAGGTTCAAGTTCCAAAGCTACGGTCAGCCTGTGTCGGGAGGTTTGGCTGGGGCGTTTGGTGCAGTTCTCTGTTTGTGAAGCCGAGGCATCGTTGCAGAAAGCACGGGCTTCCAGCGCAGCAGCCGCATCGCTTCCATTGCCGATGCCAACTGTCTCCTTGAGATTCCGAAAGACAAAGGGACTTTGCCCAAAGGCCCAGCAAGGGGACACATGCCAAGCAGCGGCACTTTCGATTCAAGTGTTCCTTCTGCGTTTTGGCTGTGTTGCCCAATGAGGGACGGTGGTGAAAGCTCTGCTGCTGCCCCATGGAAGCAGATCCCTGGTCCCAAGCCCGGAGGGCTTCCCAGGAGTGCCTTGGCTTTGAGACTCTGGATGTTTGATGCACATTTTAAGTTCGCGACAACCCGGACGGAAGCTTTGTCTTGCACTAATTTGTGGAAGTCTTTATGTGCAGAGTTGAGACGGCTCCCTTGAAATCACCTTTGATTACGTGGCAAAGGCCACTGAGATGTGTACTTATGTCGCATCTGAGACTAGCAGAAACAATCTTACGAAGACAAAAACAAACAAAGTACAGGCGTCACTCCCGCTGTATAACATGTGAGTGACTAGGCCAGTGCTTGAACCGTCCCTACCCGGATATTGAATGCACTTTGCTGCCTTGCTTGGTGCACGAGGGCCGTATCCGCGCACAGCCAGCAAAGCCGCCGCCAGCCACGACTGTCGAGGAGACAGCAATAAAGCCTCGACGAATCTAAAGATAATCAGTCCTGAGACAGCGCACACCATGGCCCAACCCGCTAGGCAGGACAACCTCTTCAACCTCGGCCGCTGCGGGTTGGGCTTCTGACTATTGGCAGGGACGCCAGCAATGATCAGGCGCTCAGGGTCATGAGTCGTGGGGCCATGCGGGCCCATGCGCATGATGCACGGATTCAGGCAATGCTTGGACTCAGACTCACAGCTAAACCACAACACAAGCCAACTCGCCCTAGGCAGGACGGAACATCAGGCCCAGCACGAGAATGTTTACTTGGCGTGCCCCGAATCGCTACAGTAACGAGCGACGAGAAATCCGGTGGCCCGTATGATCCCTAAACTAAGCTGCAACTTTGTGAATGCCAGAATCGAGGCCTTCAGCGACCTTCTGACTGTCCTTTCCAGCTGCGAGATCGTGGAGACTCTTGGAAGAGGTGAGTATGATCCTCAAAGCTGGAGCGCACAGGCTTACCCTGCGCATTTAAGCATGCAGAACCTGGCTTAGTCCCACCTGTTCAAGCTGGGTCCTGCATGTCCTGCGGACGGACTGAGCACGACTCCGATCGTGGTTTCCCCTTGAGGAAAGAGGAATACAGTGTTGAGGAGAAGTCGAGCCACTTCCTGGCTGACCTTCTCGAAACCTGGTCGCGGAAGAATCTTGGATGCAGAAGATCGTGCTAGTGCTGGAATGAATCTGCCGTCATCTACCATAGCAGGCATTCGCGAGACTCCTTCCCCGCTGCGGACTGTTGAGAATGGAAAAGGGGACTTGCCTAAGACCTCGGGTTACTGTAGAGACTTGCATGAGGTCCTGCCAACTCATCCTCGTCCTTGCAGATCTCGGCCTCGGGGAGGTGGATGCTGCAGTCGTCCAGGCCGCTGCTGTGCGAAGCTGTAAATCGCTTATCAATCCCGTCTTGGCCATCCCTGCCCGAAGGCCGTCCGTGAAGGCCTGAAGGAGGCGCCCGGAGTCGCAGACGCAGTTGCAAGGACTGGCTTGGCGTTGTCCCCGCTGCACGGCCTGCAAAATTTCATCGTCTGAGCAGAGAGCAGACGTCCTGCCGGAACTCATGTTCGCTGTGCGTCGCTTCCTAAGGCTCGCTATGCTTTCGCCAGTCGTGGCCGGTACCCAGCACGACACGCTCATCGTGATGCTGCCCAGTTCCTGGGCCCCATCCTGCACGGCCATGCTGTGCAAGATGGTTGCGGCACTGGCAGAGGATTTGAGGACACAGCTCTAGGCCGTCTTTGGCATTCGAAGCTTGAGCAGCCGATTGCCACTGGAGCAGATCTCCTGGCCAAGTTTACAGGCCAAGTCAGCTGGGAGGAAACAGGTGTGTCGGAAGCGAATTTGCCATGGTTTGGGTTGAAGGTAGGGGTAGCTGCAGGTATCGGCTGCGATGGTGCCTGAAACGGTGTGGTGTGGAGCGGATTCCCCGCTCAGATCTGCATTTGTGCTGAAGCGGGCTGGGGGTTTGTGCGTTTTGGGTTTAGGGGTTTAGGGGCCGTGATCTGATACATGGTTCTCTGGACGGGCCCCCGATCCAGTGCACATCACGGCCTGATTCGTTACAAATGATCCGAGTAGCGGCTGAGTAGCGGGTCTAGTTACCGCTTTGAAGGCTTGCTTTGGTTCTCGGACACAGGGCAGGTCTGCAAGTTGGCAAAGAGACGTTTTAATCGCTTCCCCTGATTATTAACCCCTCCCCCCAATATTAAAACTGCCGCCCCCGGGAATTTTGCGGTTTCAGGCCAACAATTGAAAGTTAATTAAAAACATTGGGGGGGCCTAGGATTGTATGAGTTTTAATTTAATAGAGCCAAGACTACAGTAGTACTAAACCGAAAGGACCAGGGCTGTAGGGTTTAGGG